CCGTGCCAGTCCTCCTCGGCACGGCCTTCATCGATACGCACGTGCGATGTATCGACATCGAAGCTCAACGAATGGAGCTACGCCAAGGCGGTTCTGTCGCCATCGTCGACGGAAAGGGGGAGTCGACTCCCCCTACCAGGCGACACGGACGACACACGGGTCGGCCGGACGTACGCCAGGAGGCCCCGCAGGCGATCCGAATCGCCCGCTGGGTTACCATCCCCGCGATGTCACAAGCCCGTGTGCGTGTGACAACCGCGGGGAGGGGCCTCGTGTTCCTGGAGCCCAAGCCCTCACTCCAACACCGACATGGAGTGCGGCTGACGAATGGCGTCGCGGAGGTCCTACCGAATCAGACCTTCGACGTCATCGTCGCTAATTTCTCACGACGAGAAAAGCGGCTTCCGAAGCACACCGTCGTGGGATACGCGAAGCGCAACCCCCTCGCGATCCTCACTCCCGAACGTAAGGTCGCCGAGGGGATCGCGCACGCGCTACACCTGACCGACGTGACCGATCAAGTCGGTGGGGTAGGAGTTGGCCGATCCAACTCCGACGATAAGACCACCGCCGGGGGCAGGGGGGTCGACCCGGACGAACGGTCGTCTTTATGCCAACCGACGGCGAGAGGTACTGTACTCCCCGAGCAAAAGGATCCCGAAAATCCACCGATGGATTGGGAAAAAGAGATCGACCTGTCATACATCGACGATGACAAGCTCCGTGGCCACGTACTCGAGATGCTCCGTAAGCACTCTAGTCTGTGGAGCGGTGCGCTTGGAACGATCCAAGCCACGGAGCACCGCATTCCCCTCGAACCGGGAACGAAACCGATTCGTTCTATGCCCTATCGGAAGGGCCCGGCCATGCGCGAAATGGTCGCGAAGGAGGTCAGCAAGATGTTGAACGCAGGGGTTATCGAACCCGCGAGCACCGAGTGGGCGTCCCCCGTGGTGCTCGTCCCGAAGAAAGACGGCTCTCTTCGGTTCTGCGTGGACTACCGGCGTCTCAACGCGAAGACGGCAGCGGATTCGTATCCACTGCCACGGATGGACGACTGCATCGACTCGTTAGGAGATGCAGCCGTCTTCACCACGTTGGACTGCAATTCCGGTTATTGGCAGATCCCGGTCGCTCCGGAAGACCGGGATAAGACCACGTTTACGACGCACATGGGCACGTTTCGCCACTTGCGCATGCCGTTTGGGCTCAAAGGGGCACCGGCCACCTTCCAACGTGCGCTCGACATAATACTCTCTGGAGTCCGCTGGCAAATATGCCTCGTCTATCTCGACGACGTGATCGTGTTCTCCCGTACGCACGGAGAACACGCGAGGCATCTCGATACCGTCTTGAGCTTACTGCGGAGTTCCGGTATCTCCCTTAAGCTCAAGAAGTGCAGCTTCTTCCGACCGAAGGTGCACTACCTGGGGCACGTCATCTCCCCAGGCAAGTTGAGCGTGGCTGATACGGCGGCCGACGCATTCAAGACATTCACGTTCCCAAGGACGCTGACGCAAGTGCGCTCGTTCCTCGGGGCGTGTAACGTATACCGCCGATTCGTTAAGGGGTTCGCTAAGATTGCGCGTCCTCTGACCGACATGACGCGCAAGGATTCGGATCCCGATTTCTATAACCCCACGGAGCTGCAACTTCAGGCGTTCGAGAACCTTAGGAAGTGCATGATCGCTCCGCCGATCCTCGCGTTGCCCCGGCACGGTCGTCCGTATATGATAGACACCGACGCGAGTGCCTACCAACTCGGCTGCACCTTACTTCAGGGGCACGAAGAGCCGAACGACTGGCGCCCCGTGGGGTATTGGTCGTACTCACTGTCCGATAGTGAGCGCAACTACAGCGCTACCGAACGCGAGTGCTTCGCCGTAGTGTGGGCCGTCCGCACACTACGGCCGTACGTAGAGGGCACGAAGTTCACCGTACGGACGGACCATGACGCCCTCCGATGGCTCATGTCACTCACCGAGAGTTCCGGAAGACTCACCCGGTGGCGGCTACGTCTGGCTGAATACGATTTCACCATTCAGTACCGCCCCGGACGCGTGCATCAGGTGCCCGATGCCCTGTCACGACTCGTGTCGCCGAAGGTCGCCGATGACCCTCGCCCCACCGTCGAGGTGGATGACGACATCCCCACTTTCGACGGGGGCACGACAGTTCGAGACGTATCGAACGAGCTCGCGGACCACTCTTGTACCGCCAGTTGTGATCATCAGGCCGTCCATGTCTTCGTAACGACACGGAACCAAGCCGAAACCCGAACAAGGTCGCGCGCACGGACGCGCGACGAACCGAGGGGCGACGACGAAGCCCCCGCTCTCCAAGGACCCAATTCGTTTTGGGAGGAGAACGACGAGTTCGACGCCGCCGACATCCAGCGCGCCGAAGACCCCGAGGCTGGCGTGCTCGATGCCACGGTCGCCACACCGCAGGACGACCTTCCGGCCCCTCTTACGATAGAGGAGATAGTCGAGGAGCAACGCGTGGGTGACTTCTGCCAAACCGTTTTGGCACGACAGTCAGAGTCCCGGGACTCCGCGTTCTTCGAGGACCACCAAGGGGTGCTCAAACGCAGACACCCCTTCGACCCTGATATCGTTCAGGTGGTGGTACCTCGGACACTTCGCGCCAGGCTCCTTCGCTTGTGCCACAACCCAGCCATCGCGGGGCACCCGGGCCAGAACCGTATGTACTACGCACTTCGACGCGAGTACTACTGGCCCCACCTGGCTGCAGACGTAGCAGCCACGGTGCGAGGGTGTCGAACCTGCGCGATGAACCGGGTCAAGCTGAGGAAACATCTCAACCGATTGAGGTTGTTTCCAGCTACGAGGCCCCTCGAGAGCCTCGCAATCGACATCTTGGGGCCGCTCCCCAAGACGAAGACAGGAAAACGATTCCTGCTCGTGATTACGGACCGTTTTAGCAAGCTGACGCAAGTCGTGGCGCTCCGCACGATAACCGCATACACGGTCGCAGTTGCGTTCTGCGAATCGTGGGTGTTTAAGTATGGCGTCCCTCGCACGTTGCTTTCGGACAACGGCCCTCAGTTTAATGCCAAGTTCTTCCACAGCACGTGCCGCGTTCTGGGGATAACGAATTTGTACACTTCGGCGTACCATCCCCAGACGAACGGGCAAGTCGAGCGATATAACCGAACAATCGCCTCGATGCTGCGGAACTACGTGGGTGAACACCAGGACGACTGGGATGTGTACGTGGGGCCGCTTACGTACGCGTACAACTCCCACGTACATCGCACCACACGCACCACGCCGTTTGAGCTCGTGCTCAGCAGGCCACCGCCGGAGTTCTCTCTCCGACGGGCGGACGGCGACGCGCCCCCTTCCGATAGGGAGAACCAACGTGCCGAGTTCCTCAAGACCTTGGACTCGACTATCCAAAAGGCCTACGGGAACCTGCGTCGGACGCAGGCTCGCTACAAGCGCGACTTCGATAAGCGCATACGACGTATTGATTCCCGGCTCCGTCCCGGAGAATACGTATATCTCAACCCCACCGATGGGGCTAAGACATCGAACAAGCTCGCCTCGTCCGCGGTCGGACCCTACCGCGTGCTCGCCAATGACTGCCGAACCATCACGATTGATCGTGATGGGGTCACCGAGCGAGTCTCCGCCGACCGCTGCGTGTACGCGCCGTCTCCGATAGACGCGCCACGAGCAAGTACGACGACCCCGCGGGACCTCGCCGATAAGGTCACCGCGGGAACGCAGTATGCCGTCGAACGGCTACTGAGACATCGGGTCATGGAAGGCGGAACTACGGAGTTCCTCATCAAGTGGGCGGATTACGACACACCCACTTGGACTGCGCGGACTCACGTCCCGGAGGAGTTGGTGTCTCGTTACGCCCAACGCCTCCGGAGACGTACCGGCAGAGACCTCACCCAAACCGTGAACGCGGACGTTCACGCTTAAGGGGGGGGCCCTCAACCGCTCCTTCGCAGATTAACCCCAGCCTGCACGAACAGACTAAAAGAGAAAGCGAAGGAGGTTGGCGGACCCTATCGGAGGGTCACAGCCGGGGACGCGTTCAAGTCAAGTCGTCTTGACTTCTCGGACGTCAAGAACGCGAGACATAAGAACAGGACAGTACGAACTGCCTGAAAAAATGTTGGGCCCTCGTAATGACCGATATTACGAGGACCGCAAAACCTCGTTCGGATCGGAAAAGTAGGACGACCCCCCCCCCGAACAGGATTGCCGGACGATCCGTTAAGTCCAGCAACCACGGCGAAGAGGGGTGCCCGACGAACGAGGCGATCAGCGGTGAAATCACGAGAGCCCTTGGTGGGCGGAGTAAGTGACCAGAATGCCCTCCTCTAAGCTCGGAATATCCGAGAAGGTGGAGGCTCACGGCGAGCCATCAATCAGCATCCGGGTTAAACAGCTCGGCAGAAAACCGGATCATGGTCCTTTCGGTTTGGGTTGTGTGCGAGAAGACGCGCGAAACGCGCAGGCAGACGCGCAGGCGAGGGGAGCGGCGTCAGGAGAACGCGCGCTAGGGCCGTTCAATAAGAGCGAGGAAGCGAGAGCAACTCGGTCGGAGGGGCACCAATATATGCGCACGGACGCGAGACACTTCAAATCCGCCGCCGAGACATGCCCCGTAATAAGGAAAATTACGGGGCATGAGAACGTTACACGTGAACGACGCCGGAGGTGCGCGCCATGCACCAACCTCGATTGCGCCATCACCAAATCACTGCCGCCAGCATACCTCGAAAATATCGAAAAAATTAATGGGAAAAATTACAGCAGCACGTGCGCGGCGTGCACAGGTACTGTACAACGGGCAACCCCACCGCCACCGCCTCCCGAAAAAAAAATAGACAAAAAAGGGTAGGGGTGGCTACAGTGCACCCGGGGATATGTGCATTGCTGGAATGGCCCAGCACGCTTGATTTCCCATTTTAAAAAAATGGGCGAAATTATGGAGGGGTGGGAAACCGCACAACAATGCACGTTGCGCACGGGCAAGCCGGTGCAGCACGCGCAACACGCCAGCGCCAGCAGGTTGGCGGCGCTCTTGCACGCCGCTGCTGCAGTGCCCATGGGACACGGCGGGATGAACCATGGCAACCATCGCGAGGGGGCAATCGTGACACAAGCGTCCTGAGGACGCGACCCCACGCGACGCGCGCAAATCCCCCCAGGCTACCTTATCTGACGCCCTTCGTTCTGCGCGCGCGAACGCAAGGACCGAAGCGAAATCGCCGCAAGAAGAACGCGCGCTGCGCCGGCGCACAGCGCCTACGAAAAGAAAAACCTGCGCGACCGTACAGCGCACACCGAGAAAGTCCTCAGATGCCGCGCAGCGATGCTCCGGAAACCGACGCCGCCCACATGCGCGCCTTTCGCCACTGCGTGACCCGCCGTGGCGCCACGAACTCGCCGCTTCCCAGACGACGTCGTAGACAGTCGCCCACCGGAGGACGACTGCGTCGACGCCGTCCTCCGCACGTCGTGTTCATCTGCCGCAACGAACCTACGAGGCGTCTGGCCATTTCTAACAGGGCAAGAGAAGGTCCCAAACTGCCACCGCGAGATCGAGGAGTGACCAGCGCTTCCGAAGCGGGCGTTCAAACCGGTCGGCGGGCTTCTGCCGCACGAGTCGCGTGCCGCCCCCGACCAACGGCAAAAGGCCATGACAAATCCGCCGACGCTGCGGTATGCCCGGACGGACTGTCAGCGGCGTAACGCACTCGGGAGAAACTCCCGTTACGAGCGACGGCGTAGTGTAGGTGGTGGGTACGGGTGTCTTCCCAACAGAAGACCAACAACCCGCGGATCAGGGACGAGAGCCTGCTGCTACAGTGGATCCCGAGGGCCTCGGAAGCAGAGCGTACGCGTCGAGATAGGTAGCTTCATTATATACGGTGCAGGGAGTCAAAAGCATCCAATCGGGATAACGCCCCCCGAGATGGTACAGCCGACCGGGGGAGACGTCGTGCTGCGACACAAGGCGCTCCGCATTGACTACCCCGTCCGTTACGACTTTATAGACCAGTTCGCAGCGAAGAGTTCCGCCGCGCCGACCCAATCGCTGCCATTACTTTGCCTGAACAAGGGGCCCCGGCCGTCGCCGTGGTGTCGCCGGCTCAGAACCATTTTTGTCAGGTCGTCGAAAAAGGACAAGAATGCCAGGGAGGAGGACAGTCGCGACACGGTCGACACACTGGCGGGGTAGTGACGCAGAGGGCAGGCTAGGTGGACGGCATCGGGACCGTCACGCGGCGCTCACGGGTCGCTATGAAACCGCATACCCGGGGTGTCAAGGACCCCGAACCTCACGCAACACCCCCGCGCTACAGGGCGGAAGGATGGGCTCGCCGTACACGCTTCTACCGGCGGGCCCTCGTCACTCACGGAGCCGTGTCCGATTGCTCATCGCATTGCCCTCCCCCTGAATAGTTCAGGTCCCGTCGACGGCCTCACGCACGGTCGAAGGACGACGTAGAAAGAAGGCGCTCCCGACTCCGACGTAGGTCGCTGACACGATGAGGCCTTCAGAAGAGACACGCCGGAAGGATTTGGGGGGAAGCAAGCGCCTCGACGCGTCTGTAAGTACTCCCATCGCGTCGCTTCGAAAGAGAGGGGCGGACTGACGGCGGATCCCGCCCCTACCTTGCCCACGACGGACGAGTGGATCCCATCCGTACCCAGGCCCCCTGGGGCCTTATTTTAGATTAGATCAACTCAGAATCGGATCGGTTACTGTAGGGCTCGATGCTCTACAGTACCATCACGTGTACCCCCGAGTACAGGGGGCGCACGTGTACACGTGTACGCGCGGGACCGAAGAGCGCGCGCACACGTGTACTGTCAGCCCCAATTAGAACTTTTTGTCGCTAATCACGGCGCGTGCCATGATTTAATTTTGGGAAGATTTCTTCCTCAGACGACAGCGCACCAATCAGGAACCGTGCTCTGATTTTTTGGCAGAAATTGTTTTCGCGGGAAATTATGACAATTTTTGGGATGATTTTCTGATTGCGCGGGGGACGATCAGGATAAGGATTGTCGTCGCGCGTCGTTGCGCGCCGCGCCCTCGCCATCGGTGGCGAGGGCCGGCAAGTCTACAGTACGACGCGCAACGGACCCCACGCCTCCCGTTGCTCTACGAAGAGAGCCAGGTTCGAACAGCATGAAAGGACGGGTGGGACGTCAACAAATCCGAGACCCGCCCTCCATTTTTTCTTGTCCAGACCAGGGAGGAGGCCTTCCGCGAGCGTAGGAGAAAAACACGCGAGGAATTGCCTTAGGGGCTTTACGGGAAAGGAAATGACTAGGGATGTCGAGAGCCGGTCGCTATGCTTGCACGCTCAACGGTTCGTATCGTTGGAGGGTTCCGACGACCCTGGAGCACGCGCCCTCGGGGGGCAATAACTTGGATGAAACTGCAACTCGGGCTCCATTTCATGGAGCGGAGGAAGTGTGGCCTCTCCGTGGGGAGTCCAACCCCGAGGCGGATCAGCAGAGGTCGCGAGTGCGTCGGTCGTCGAGAGGCCGTACCCGCGACCCTCATAAGGATCTCGAAGATTCTGCCGCGGCGTGGACGCAGCACGCTCCGGGGGCCCAACACGAGCGGCTCTGAGCGCGTCTCGTTCTCCGCGATACCGATCGCGGTCGACGACGGCGCGCTGGAGATCGCTCGCGCGACGTGAGGAGGCACCGCGTAGGACGTCGAGCTCGCACCGGACGTCGCGCAGCTGTGCCGCAAGAGAGTCACGTTCAGCAGCAAAAGACTGACGCTCCGTTTCGAGGCGACACGCTTCGCTACTGCGCTCAAGGTACCAATTCGTCAGGGTCCGCAGTAGACCCTCCACATTCCAGGTCTGGTCAATTAAGCTCCCCAGGGCGCGGGACAACCTGGGGATGGCGGTGATCTCGCGACGAGCTAGGTCGAGACTAAGCACAGTGAATCGCGGTGTACCAGGGTACCCAACCGATCCTAGGGAAGGCAGCGGAGGCAATGTAGTCCCCGCCGCCGTATCGTGACCGACTTCGGGATGAGCCTGCACTGCGATGGCTGGGGATTCACCATCGAGGTCACGATATCTCTTCCGCCGCGCCTCTCGCGCCGTGGACCCGACACCTCCTTTGCCACGAGAGGGACCCACCGCACTGGAGCCCGAACGAGCCACGAAGGCGTCTCCTTTTAAATCGTAGGCGAGGAAGAAGCTCTGGGCCCCGGTTGTGTAGTCAGTCCACGGCCGCCGATTGCGTTCGGGCACCGCAACGGCGCGGTGCATCAAGTCGAGAACCGAAGAATAGGTCCACGGGACAGACGGGGAGCCGCGCTCCAAGGGGTGCAACGCCACGTCGGGCAGCGACGGCGCGACCCGACCAAGGAAGGACAGCACACCGATGGGCTGTACGAAAACGCGCCCGTGCAGGGCGACCTCGCTCATGAAAGCGTTGCAAGTTGACCACGCCCACTCACCCTCGTAATTGTAGACCAACTCCTCGTAGGCTGGATGCTTCGAGTCAGTACCCGCGAAGCCGAAATGCTTCAAAGCGTAGGGGAGTAACGGATGCACCCCCAACGATGGGAGTGCCTCCCCTATGCTTGGAGGAAGTTCCGGGAAATCGCCCCGCGATAGGCCCGGGGAAAAGGCAGCGGACGGGAAGACTCGGCCGTCGTCCTCTTCATTATGGCGGTAGGCCGACCAATCGTTGGGGGCTAAGGCAATACGATGGATACGCATAAGCGCGCAGGCCGACTTTTGGAGAGCTGCGCGAGCCCGGGAGTGAGTACGAGGACGCGGGCTGACGTACAGACCCGCTACCTCCGAGAGGACCAACCGACGGGGATCTCGAGGGCCCCGATGGAAGAGATACGTCGACATTCGGTCAACGTATTCCGCCTCCTCGACTATAGACGAACGTCCTGTCACTGGGTATCTCGTCCGGAATTTGATAAGGGGCGCCGTCGCCCTCAGACAAGAGACGACCCAAGGCAAGGGACGCCTCTGCTGCGAGGCCACCCTCGTAGATGGTGCGAACTCGGCGTAGATCGGGGCGCAAGTGCGCCCTCGCCAGGAGCTCCCCAACGGTAACGCCCGACCGAGCGTGGCGGCGCCACGCGTAGTTCAGGCGACCGAGCGGCAGCGGAATGGACCGCTCTAGGGGCACCCCCAGCCACTGCGTGGAGGTGTCGGAAACCTCCTCCTCTGCGATCCGGCCGAGCCGAGAGGAAGTAGTCGGCGCACCGGGGCACCGACAACTTCCGGAAGCCCCGTATGAGCCCAAGACGGGCTGGTACGGACCATCGCGCGGCCATACCGTGAATCCGCCGACGGGTGGGCCGCCCGCGCCATCGATCGGCGCAGGCGGAAGGGGCATCGGACCCCCCGTCACCAAGGACGGATGGGCCGCAGGAGGCGGAGCGACGGTCGGCAAGGGACCGATCTCCTCGGTTACTGTAGACGTTCGGGGACCTCGGGATTTTCGGAATGGTCTCGGGGGCCACCAGGGCGCCGGAGCGGAGGAGTTGGGGGCGACCGAAAGCGACTGTGAGGGCACCTCTTCGACGGGGGTGCGGTCGTCTATAGCCGATGAGCAAACGACCAGCTCGTCCGACCCACTGCCCGGAGCTGGCCGAGGAAGCGTGATACCGCCCTGAGGGGTAGTGGGAGACGGCATATCGATGATGCCGGGGCGTGAGCCGAGTGTGCAGACGGGGGAGAAGGCGAGCTCGGGGGCAGGGAAAAGAAAGAGTGCTCGCCCCGGCAGAGGAAGACAAACGGACCCCCTCGGAAAGGGTACCAAGGTGATGCTGAGGCCGACCCCAGAGGGCGTGCGCAGGACCACCCGGTTAAGAGGGGGCGACGGAGACGAAAGGGAAGCGAGATCGCCGGTTGCAGGGGAGAAGGGCGAGGAATCAGCGCGCGCGCGAAGGCGCACGGGGCGAGACGCCGAGAATACCGCCCAGAGAGCGGAGTCGTGGTAAGGAGCGGAAGGGACCGTATCGAGGACGCGGTTAGACATGGCTCGCGCCCTACAAGCACCCGTGGACGCGGACGTCCCCGCTTAAGGGGGGGGCCGTGTAGTATAACCCCCCCTGGGGCTTTTTAGATTAGATCAACAACGGATCCAATACTGTAGAGCCTCGGGCTCTACAGTACTACCGCGCGTGGCCACGTGTACCCCTCGGGTACAGGCCGCACGCGCATACACGTATACTGTCAGCCACGATGGCTCACAGTATTACAGTACGGTCCGATCGGTACTACAGTAGACCACTACAGTGCTTCGGTACTGTAGTGTTATAGATTGTTTTGTATATTAAATATGGAGCGGACCGGCGGGGTGGAGGAGGACAAGCACGGACTTGTCACCCACCGACCGTCAAGGTCCGACTTCCCGCTTATTCTAAGGTAACGCTCGCTAATTACCTTAGAGCGGCACCGAGCGCGGGTTGAGGACGCGCGCGGTACGCCCACGAGTCGGCTCCGCCTCCGCCCGTCGGTACTGGATCGTTACCCAGTACCGCGCCGGGGCGTCGAGGCGTCGAACCGCTCGCGCGTACCGGCGTCCTCCCCGTTCCCGCTCTACCACGCTACCCGGGCCCGCTGCCCGGTGCCGTTAGCTGGTGTCCTGCTTCACCCCCGTCTTCCCGATCGACAAGGGTCTCGGTCGAACTGCGCATACACCCCTATCGCTGGGGGTGTTTATGCTACAGAGATGATGCCACTGCGTTGATCGATGATCCCCTCGAGTCCTTCCCCTTCCCTACTTTATTATATCTACTACTGTAGTCCCCGTTCTTACAGTGCCAGACTGTAACGGTACGACTACACATCGGGCAGTAACGGTCCTGCACTTGGGCACCAGCGAGGTGCGCCGGTATCATACATTAGACGGTATGATTAGAGTACAGTACGTACACGGACGCGAATTGACTTACCGGGCGATAAGGTAATTACCTTTCGAATTGTGAAATAACCAATGCGGTCCTTGTCATACACCATCGGGTGTTCGAGTACAGTATGTACACTAGTGGACACTTGGCGATATACTACATGGCCCCCTCCTCGCCTTGAGCGTCCCGCTCAAATTTTGCAAAAATTATTTTCCGAAACATTACGCACGGCGCGTGCGCTAGGGATTCGTGTGTCCCACTTCAAAATTTGCGCAAGAATTATGCAGGACAAATCAGCTGGGGACACGTTTGTCCTCGTTTGGCCATGGATTTTGCCAAGCGTGCCTCCCGCCGTCGGAGTTCGAATATGTTGACAGCGCAGCATCTGGTGCGACCGCGCGCAGCGTGTGGTACAATTCCACACCGCGACCCCCGGTGGGAGATGAGAACCGTCGAGACGGGCGGTTACTACTGTTGTAATCGTGCACGCGCCCTCTGCGAGCACAGTAGTACCTCCACGGCGTACACGTGGCACAACCGTTGGCGCCAGTCGTGGCCACGGGCACACGTGTGCGACCCATCCGGTAAGTAATTAGCAATTAGAGGTTAATGGCACAAATTAGCCAATTTAGTACAGTAGCTGGTATACAGTATGTAACAGCTACTGTAGCGGGACAGGTGTCCTGGCGTCCCACTTAGGGGTTAAGACCGGGGGCACCTGCCCCGTTCCAGTAAACGGGGGCAGACTCGCCTCCCTTCCCTTTACGGCTTTTTGCTAACTCCGTCCGGTTTTACCTCTAAGTCTCAGGCTTCTAACCCGTGACCGGCCGTCCGGATCTAACACCACCGACCGGCTGCGCGTCACCGGCCACGTGAGCCTTCCCTCTTTTCGAGTCCTTCCGTACGGTTTGCGCTCGCGTGGGTTACCCAGCGGCGCGCGCTCCCTTACCTCTAACCCCCCTCGTTCCGAGTGGTCGGGACGAAGGTAGTTATACCACACAGCGAAGGGGTAGACGATCGGTCCGTCTCGTTTCAGTTTGTCGTCCCGCGACTCGTTGTACGTCTCTCAGTGCGATTCGAT